TCTGCTGTCACTGTGTATTGCATGCCCGGGGTGTGTGTGTGTGTGTGGGGGGGGTGCTAACAGTATAAAAGAATGTTCTGGGTGATGGAGCATGCTCAGTGCCAGCTCTGGGGAAAGCACACCTTGTGTTTTGCCCCAAGCTGGGCCTCTTTGGGAATACAGTCAGGATCAAGAGAGAACCATGTTGTGCAGTAAAACATAAAACCCCGGCCCTGTCAGCCCAGACCCAGGCCCCACAGGCGCAGCGTAGCTTGAAGAATGAGAGGAAGAGCGTGCTGACCTGTCTTGTTATTCTCTGGGACTGGCGTCTCTGGAATAGGGCTCCCTCAAGGGGCCTGGTCTGGCCTTCTCCTTGTGGCGAGTCCCCTGGGGGCGTTGAGGGTGGCAAGCTGCTGGCTGATAGCTTGAGCTACTGGCCTTAGGCCTGAGGACAGTGAACAAGGGCCTCTTTGTCTGGGCTTCCTCCCACTGGGCACCGCGGGCCTCAGACTAGCCTTTCCAGCTCGCAGCAGGCAGCCTCTCCTGGCTGTATGCCAGGCTACAGCCAGGGCAGAATGGAAGGGACTCAGGCTCATCCTGACCATGGTACCCCCTCTTCCTCCTCCCCCCCCAACGTAGGACCATGAGCTCTGGAAATCCTCGGATAAGATCTGTCGACAGCTTATCTACCACCTCACTCCACACTCCAAGCGAAAACCCCACAGGAAAACCCAGAGCAGGTGAGGAGAGCCCAGCTGCGACCCTTGAACGCCGTCGTTGAGGGTCCCTTCTCTGAGAGCTCAGTGTGCCAAAACCTCACTCTGCTGTCCCCTTGCTTTATTCTACAATAAGAGTCCAGCCCTGACAGCAGCCGTGGCTGGCGGCAGCAGACCCTAAGCCAAGCACCATGCTCCGTGTGAGTTGCTTCTCATTTCCTTGCAGGACAGTGACACGTCCTGCCAGTCACTGGTCCTTCCACCCCTGTCCCTTCCTAGAGCCTGTGTCTCCTTGGGCTCCACCACATACATTAGGTAAAATCTTTTTGTTTTTTTGGTTTTTTCGAGTCAGGGTTTCTCTGTGTAGCCCTGGCTGTCCTGGAACTCACTCTGTAGACTAGGCTGGCCTCGAACTCAGAAATCTGCCTGCCTCTGCCTCCCAAGTGCTGGGATTAAAGGCGTGTACCACCACTGCCCGGCAGGTAAAATCTTAATAACAACAACAACAATAATAATAAACCCCATAGATTCTGAGCCTCCCATTTCACAGGGAAGGACACCAAGGAGAGGGAAGTAGCTTGCCTAGGGGATAATTCTTTCCCCAACTCTCCTGCAACCCTTTGGGAATTCATCAGCTCCAGATTTCCTGAGGCAAAGACTTCCACAGCTTCCCCATAGCTTACTCTGCTCGTGGTCCAGTTTTTGGTCACTAAATCATAGCCTCGAGAAACAGTCTCCGATCAGAACCAGTCCTGGCATCCTAAGGTCTAGAACCGCAGCTGGGAACTGACTGAGCTCTGTTTATCCTGCATCCTGTTTTATTCTTAATCTTTGTGGTCCAAGGCGAACCCAAAAACCATGTTTCCTGCCATAGCAGATGGGGCCCTGGCAATATTCTCAGTGTTCTTCCTAACCTACCTCCCAATCTGGTGATGTACAGGCAAGGGACCCGTTTCACTTCCTGTCGTTCCTTTGTGGAGTGGGTTTATCATTGACACACCCTTGGGCTGTCATGAAAATAAGTAATTTTAATGCAGGAAGCATAATAATAGTTTACATAAAGAGCCTTAATTCATGTATCCAATCTTTACAACGACCCTGGCCCCATTTCACCAGAGGGGAAACCGATCTCAGAAAGCATAGCCTTTGGCCACCAAGGGTAAAAAAAAAAATGGCTTAAAAAATATTTATTTTTTTAATTTTTTTTTTAGGGTGCAAATGCTTTCTCTGCATGCATGTATATGTGCTATGTACTAGAGGCTACAGGGGATTGAATTCCTTAGAGCGGCAGGTGCAGATAGTTATTAAGTCATGCTGTGGGTGTTGGGAACTGAACTCGGGTCCTCTGTAAGAGCAGAGCGCACCCTTAACTGCCGAGTCATCCCTCCAGTCCCAGAAGTGGCGCTATTAAACCAGGCTTTGCCAGGCCTAGGAAACCTAGGTTGCCCTTGGTGGGTAACTGTCTGCTGTGGCTGGGGTCCAGCCTGGGCCCGGGTCCTGGTCCGCTGTACCCATCTGCATCCCTCCCTCCATAGCCTCAAGAGCAGCCTCCAGAAGACTCTGCTGGTAGGGGAGACGGTGGACCTTTCTGGCATCCCGCTATCGGTCCGGGATGTGCAGCACATATCCCGCTACCTGGACAGTCGTGATGTAGAGCTGGTGGTTCTAGACCTGAGCTTCACGGAGCTGAGCGATGAGCTGTTGCATCTGCTGCTTCCCAGCCTCTGGGCTCTGCCCCGCCTCACCCAGCTGCTGCTCAACGGTAATAGGCTGACAAGAGCTGCTGCCCGGGAACTCACCGAGGCTATCAAGGACGCCGCCAAGGTCCCCGTGTTGGCCTGGGTTGACCTGGGTAACAACGTGGATGTGTCTTCGCTTCCCCAGCCCTTGCTGGTTGGCCTGCGAAGGCGACTGAGCCAGCACACCTCGCTTCCTACCATCTACGAGGGCCTGGACCTCGAGCCTGGGAGCGGCATGGCTGAGACCACTGCTGCCGTCTCCTCCTGGGGCTCTGCAGCCACTGAGGCAGGACCAGAGCCTCAGGGTTGTTGTGCCAGGTGACTTGCTACTGGTCTGGTTCAATCCTAATGACTGAGGTCTTTTAAGAACCAGGTATTAGAGGCCAACGGTGTCCCTCAGAGAGACAGTGAAAATGTTCAACTTGGGGTGGAGTGGGTGGAAGGAGACGGGTTTCATGGGAGGCAGGCCAGGCAGCCCACACTAGGGGTTCCATCTTGCCCAGCAAGAGGTACCTCAACACCCACAGCCCAGACCTTCCAGGAAAGGATGCTATTGCTTATTTCAAAAGGCTTTATGGACCACAGACTTCAGGCTCACTGAGCTCCAGGACTGCTGCAGAGGTAGGAAAACTCCACCTGCCCAGAGTAGGTAAACCACAGCCACGGTGATGCTCCCTTAGTGCTCACGGGGAGGTCTCCATGGAAACAAGATGAAGAGTTCAGTGGTGTGGGTTCAGTGGTGTGGGGCTCAGGAGTTAGAGGGGAGACCTGACCTTAGGAGCAGGGTTTGAGCTTCAGGGGAGCAGGTTGGGAGTCACAGACAGGAAGAACTCCGTATGGAACCCGAGAGCAGATGCAATCAGGGCCCGTCAGTGTGCTTGGGGCTGGGGGACAAGGCTCCCACACCAAAGGCAAGGCCATCGACTCTGTCTCCCGTGGGACACAGCACTGGCCACTCTCCCAACCTCCAGTCCCCACGCTTCCTGTGTAGGCTGACTGAGTATCCTGGCAGGGTGAAGAGATGCATCTGGCTGGAGACAAGGAGCTGTAGTGTCTCCTTTGGTTTGGGGATCACACACAGGATGTAAGGGGGTGGAGGTGGGCCCAGCTAGCATCAGGAGTTCTCAGGGCAGAACAGACCTAATGGTATCTCTCCAGGGCGCTACTGTCTTCCTTTCCAGAATCCCTCAAGGTGGCCTTCCAACTAGAAGCCTGACGTCTGGTCACCCTCCCTGACCCATTTAGGAAACTAGAGTTTTTTAGCCCAACTGGTAAACAGGCAGGGCAAGTGTGGGAGGGACTCAGAGAAGAGCAGGGTAGGAAAGCCACTGGCCTAAGGCCTCTGAGTAGAGCCAAGACTTAAGGCCTGGTGACAGTGGAGAGAGACCCAGTAACAGAGGGCAGTCTCAGGGTCAAGGTAAAGGCTGGGGTCACCCTGGACCTGTGTGCCTATGGCCCACTAGTTCTGACCACCCCTTCCCCCCGACCCCGGTCTAACGCCAAGGGGACTATGGACAGTACATCCAGGACCCCATGAAACATCAGTGGCAGTACATCCCCAGCCCAGTGTGCCCAAGGAGAGAAAGAGCTCGATTATATCAGCTCCCAGGCCTGGGAAAGGAGACAGCTGAGAAAAACCATTATTCCCTCATGCTCTACCGCTTTAGACAAACGCTTATCAAGACACCGTGAGAAGGGCACAGGACCGCTGGCTCTGCGCTGTACTTGCTGGGGGACCAGGCCAGGTCTTCCGGTAATTTATGAAGTTGAGTCTGGGACCCAACTTCCCCCTCTCTGTTATCTAGAACTTGCTGTCCCGGATCCTGGCACTCAGTGCTTCATCTTGAATGACTTCCCACTCCCCGACCCCCCCCCCCCCGACTTCCCCCTTGTTTTAAAGTCGTGGCTTGGAGTTATTGGACTTTCCCTGTGCCTTAACAACTCGGGACAAGGTTTGGGGCTTTCTAGAGCCAGGCAAAGCAAGATAGAGTATGGGCCAGCAGAAAGAAGGAAGGGAGGGCCAGCTTTGGGCCCAGCAGACTAATAACCTCAACGCAAGCTTAGGCAGCTGAGTTTTCCTTGTAACTCCTTGCTGTACAGAGGCAGAGTTCTGAGTCTCTCCTGCCCCTCTTACTCTCTGCCCACAGCTGGTCTGAAGCCAGCCCACAAACCTTTAGATATCACGGTGCAGGAAGATTCTTCCTAGGATGGTGTGCGAGGACCGAAGCAGGGGCTTCCCGGCAAATCCAGATGGCAGCAGACGGTCTCAATTTCCCCACCTTTTCGAGGCAAGTGATGCAGTAGCTTTGCCGGATCCTGAGACAGCTTAGGAGATGTGGGCAAAGTTGGCTTTGCTGCTATACAAGTGGTCGTGGTCCTTCACGGAGTTCTCATGACTACTAGTAGGGAGATTCCACGGGTCGGGACAGAGATTTCCAGAGAAGGGAGGGTCAAGCCTTGTCTTTGTGCTACTATAACAGAATACCACATCCTGGTAATTTATAAACAATAGAAGTTTACTTAGCCCATGGTTCTAACAGCTGAGAAGTGGAAATAGAAGAGGAGCATCTGGTGATGGCTTTCTTGCTGCGTCATCCTCTGTATCACATGGGTAGAGAGCGTGCGAAGGGCAATAAGGACTTCCACGAACCAGGGGAGAAGCCTGCTGATCTAATTACCCTTTAAATCGAGGACCTGTTGGGTTTCCCATGCCTGTGCTCTGAGTAGGCTTCACTTAGGTTGGCACTGACCAGGAAGTAAGAAGGAAGCACATGGGGGGCCTTGCTCACGTGTCAGCCTGGAGGCATTCAACCATCCTTGGTCCAGACCCATCACTTCCTAACAGTGTAGTCTGGGAACTAGACACAAACATCCTTGTTGTCCTTTTGAAGTGAGGAGGACATGAGGTTTGGAAAGAGCCTGTCAACAGGACTGGTGCAAGCCAGCATTCTGTAGTGTCTGTCGGTGAGTCCTTCACCTAGGCTATCTGTGTGGTGAGATTTGACAAGAGCTAGGCTGAAACATCTGTCTGTCTGTCTGTCTATCTATCATCTATCTTTTCTTTTTTTTGGTTTTCAAGGTAGGGTTTCTCTGTGTATCTCTGGCTGTCCTGGAACTCACTCTGTAGACCAGGCTGGCCTCCAACTCAGAAATCCACCTGCCTCTGTCTCCCAAGTGCTGGGATTAAAAGCGTGCGCCACCACTGCCCAGTTCTATCTATCTATCTATCTATCTATCTATCTATCTATCTATCTATCTATCT